TCTGCTTGGGTGGCAGTTATGGTCTCTTTGGGGTATATTCCCAATAGTGGAATTGCTAGGTCAAATGGCATCTCTATTGGCAACTTTTTGAGAAAGTGCCATACCACCTTCCACAGTGGTTGCACCGTTTTACACTTCCACCAACAGCGAATAAGGTTTCCAGTTTTTCCACAAACTCGCCAACATTTGTTGCTTGCTGTTCTGCTAAATTTTGCTCTTCTTACTGGGGTGAGATGTTATCTCATAGTTGTTTTGATGTGCATCTCAGAGCTAGGGATTTTGAACATTTCTTCATGTGCTTGTTTGCCATCTGAATGTCTTCTATGGTGAAGTGTCTGTTAATATCCTATGCCCATTTTTCAACTGGATTGTTTATCTTGTGATGAGGACTTAACCCTGCAAGTTAGCTTCTAAAACCCAGTAGTCTCCAAAATTGGATGAAGAAATAAAATATTAGAACTTCTATATATTTATTTTTCACATAATTGTTCTTTAATTCTATTTTCTTGTATTTTGTGATCACACAATATATAGGTACAATATTACAAGGATATTAATTTATAAACACATAGGTGCATGATCAGATCCCTCATTAACAGGATAGGCAATCAGAAAAGGTGAAAGGCCACATGGAGGCTAAAGAAGGAAAATTAAGATCAGCTCTTACTCTCCTTGTTCAACAGAAATGAAGTGCCTTATTTCCATAAAGTAGCTTGGCTAAATGCAGGATGATAGTCAATGCATTAAATCCCAAGCTAGAGTTCTTTCCAAATTTCTTGGGGGAAGGTAGAAGTAGAAATGAAATACACCCTGCAAACTAAGTAAAAAGTCAAACTTTGGAAGAACCATTAAACAGGGATGGTCATTAGCCTGAAAAATAGGCAGCAGAAGACAATCTCCAGTTCTACTTCAGTCAGATGCTCTAAATGGGAAACCCCCTTCATAGAGTACCTCTTCACTATCTCACTTGCAGAGCATTCCCCTTGCCCCATATATAGTGTTAGTTCATATAACACTAATAGTCTGTTTTAAAGATATGTTCCTCCTCTCTCCATCTCATGCATGCAACGATCACCACACGCTCCAGCTTCTTTCAAACCATTCATTTTACACCATCTGGAACCAAGAATGAAGCAGCAAAATGTTGAAAATAAAAATAAAGCGGACTTTATTTAGAAGATAAAGGTGGTGGTATCAGTTTGGTTAATAAAGTTGGGCTCAAGTGTTTTAACAGGTCTTTAATGCCATCACAGACTGGCATGCCAAGGGCATTCTGAACGCCAATTACAGACTGAAATTATATCAGAAACCAAGATGCTATCAATAATGGATGGAGTTTGGATTTCTTTAAAGTTGGACCAACACACTTCAATAATAAGAGTGAAGAGATTACTTAGTTGTGAAAGTTAAAATACTATACTGAGCAGTCCCCCTCCCTTTTCCCAGAGATCCCTAAGGCAGTATTACAGTTGCCTCTGACAACCAAACCAAAATTTCAACAGAAGGGAGCCAAGGGGAACTGGGAGAATGAAAAGCAAATTAATAAAATATAATTGATATAGGCAGCTGCCACTTACGGCAAACCAAAGCCTACTCCCAAGCCCATTTTCTTCACATTTGCACTGACATTTTCCCAAACAGACGGTAACTACATTCTTTAAGGAATGTGCCAAGACTAGGGGTGGGGAAGGCCCAGATAGTAAGCAGACAGAATGCATTTTGCATCCAGTTGCCTTAGGTGGTACAACTGATTAAGAACAAGTACCTAGACTATGGAAAACCCAGTAGCCAAAGGTAAAGAGAAAAGAGGAGGCTTAAATGCATAACCAGTGCAGAATAACTGCGAGGCACCAAGACCACACTATAACCAGTTCATTTTCCTCCTCTCCATCAGAATGGATCTGGAAGAAAAGCATTAGTAACAGCACTTGTCAACTGCTTCCCTGGAACAAAACACGCGAAAGGTTTTGTTTTCATTATGGTTCTCAGTGTACTTTATTCTCCTTCTGTCTAGATAAGCAGCCCACACAGGACAGAAATGGGTAGCACTGAGGAATGATCAGATTTTTTAACTCTCCCTCAAATTCCTAGCCCTCCCATCCCTATCTCTTAGCAGGAATGGTTAGTACATCATCCTCTCCTTAAAGAAACAGCTAAAATTAAAACAAGGCATTCAAGGGCCAGGTCTCTGCTAATAGGGCTTATGAGCTGGTTGGTGTAAGCTCTTTGTTCTCAACAGAGAAACTCCTCTTTTAAACACCTGGATTTTTTTTTTTGTACACTGGTTCATAGATCGGCACTTGACTTTGAACCTGGCACCAAAAGGCACAATATCTGATACCCTGTACAAGAGCTAATAGATGCTGCTGTGCAGATGGGCAAAGCCAAGCCAATCCCATTTAATAATGGAAAGCTTGGCTAGGGAGGGAAGGATAGTGAAAGAGACAAACAAAAACATAAGCCCATACTTTTGCTAGAATGAAATCAAAGTCTTGTTTTTCAATCTGCCAAAGACCAGGAAGCAATTTTAAAACTTCCTTAGTTTTCTGAAAGCAGTATAGTAAAAATGCCAGCAAAAATTTCTAACTGCAAAACCAAAAGGGGATCAAAGCTCACCTACATCCTTTATTGCTGAAAGAGTCTAAAACCAAAGTTTAGGATGCCCTATTCCCATGTAGAAGGGAAACTAAGTCTCATTATGGTAATCACAGCACATCACACCTTTAAAAAAATATATTAAAGCGTGTGACCAGGGGAATGTTTGACACCATTACTCTTCAGTGGAAAAATATAACCGTTTTCAAGTGCCATTTTCATGAAAGTTCTAGTTGGTGTATATATATATTTTTATATATATACTTACATATATATATATTTTTTTTTGTTGGTTAGTTGGTTTTGAAGTGCAGCAAGAGACCAATACCGGCATTGTAGTCAATCAAATAAAAGAGAACAGAAGGCCAAGCAGTTTCCAAATGGTTATTTTATCAGACTGTTTGAACATTAAATTTATCTTTGCTCGCAGTCCAAAATAGTTTCTGAAGTTTGCTGTTTTGTATGTGTGTGTTTATTGTATATTTATTTTCTAAACTCTTTGGCACAATTTTCTGGGAGTGTTCAGACTGCCACAATACAAGTCAGGAGAGAGCTTTTCTTTGTGCTGCCAATTCTGAGCATATAGAACTTTTGGTTTGTTTGGGCTGAGTTGTGGCTTTTTTGTTTTTGATGTCTGTATTCTTTACTTGTTAACAAATGTATTTTCATCTTTTCTATATTCTCTAACGCCAGAGTTTTATCCCACCCCCCACCCCCACTTCTACATTCACAGTTGAACCATATTATTAGGAAAGGCGCCTTGATGAAAGTATCAGGATGGGAGTCTCTGACCATTCGTCAGTGTTTTCCCTAAAAGATTAAAAAAAAAAAAACCCACAAAAAAACCCCCCCAAAACACAAAAACAACAAAAAACCCCAAAAACAAAACCCTAAAGAGCGTCTTTCCTTTTTCTTTTAACATCTCTTGTGCTGCATCAGTAGACAGAACTTCGGTTAGTTTTATGAAATGCAACATCTAACCCTTTTTTTATGGGACAAAGAAACTGCAATGACTTGAAGTTGAGAATGTGGATACCGCCTCACTCACACACACTCATTCTCAGACTGAAAAGAATCCCTCACCCTCCCTTTAGCCGGCTCGTGTACAGTACCATGTGGCATAGGTACACTGAAGGTGGGCTTGAGACCCAGGCTCCATCTTTCTTATCAGTAGCAAAGGCCAGGCTGCCTTTTACAACAAAGCACCACAGCTGAACCCAGTCCTTCCTCTCCTAAACCAGTCATTCCACTCAGCACCGGCCAAAAAGTAGAAAAGCTAATTTTAGCCTCTCTTGGGAAGAGATAGCTTTCTTTTCTTAAAAAGCAAGTAAATCCATCTTTTTCTCTTTTCCAAGATGGCCGATGTTACAGTTTTCTACGAAGTCAGTGCTCACTTAGCTCACTAACAGCACTGCTGTTGGCGGCGGCTGCTGCTGCTGTGGCAGGATTTTCAATGTGGTGTGTTTTCAAGCCTCACTCACTCATCCTCTCATTCCCAAACATTCAGCATCCGTGCACACGCCTCACTTCCGGGTTTTTCAAAAGATTGGAGATTTCCAGTGGGGGTCTCAGGTTATCATCCCAATGGTAACAGATCTAAAAACAAATGGGAGGGGGGAAAAAAGTCAATCTGTAAGATAACATCTCCCACCCAGTGGAATAGAAAAAATCCTTTCAGATTTCTACAATTAAGTGTTTTAATGTCTGAACTAGATTTGAACATCAGCTATTCTAGGGCTATTTTTCTTCCCTATTATCTACCTTTTTTTGTTTGCCCCTACACAGAGAGCAGGAAGGAAGCAAACAAAAGAAAAGATGAAATTCAAAATAGTCTTGAGATTTATGAAGGTAATTTAATAGATGTGGGGGAAATGTTAAAATTATACTCCAAAGCAGAGGTCAGCAATGTCCAAAATCATTAGAAAAATCAAACCCAACTTCAGTCAAACCTATTCTGACTCAAAATCACCACTCCCACCAAGTTTTTAAATCATGAAGAGCTCATATGTTCCCCATGAAGTGGCTAGTAGACTCAAAGTGCCAATCTTTGAATTATCACCCCAATATATTTTCTAATTATCCACTTGGCTCTTTTGAGGAAGAAATTAAGTAGCTACAGGAAAAAGTCGTTAATTGTGATTTTACTAGGGCTTAAAATGATTTGGGGATCACAACACAAACTAGTGAGCTCTGTTCTTTATTATTGTGAAGAATCAAACTATTTGGCTCAAGCAATGACTGAGCTGACTAGACCCTACCACTAGTACAAAGCTAAGAAATCCAAATTTGACTCTCTATATAGGGAAGAGTACCAAGCCAGCACCAAAAGACAGACCTTGCCAGAAGAACCTAAAGAAAACACATCTTTTCCACAACAGCAGCACTTAGTTGACAAAGATAAGCTCTTACCAAGCTTGGTTCTTCAGTTTCCTCAGTTCTTTTGTTGCCCATGTAGCAAGGGTTTTTGCTTTGTTAGTCTTCGATCTTCGTCCTTCAGTTAACAGTTCATGGATCATGGGCCTAGCTTCTACTAATTTCAGTACATCCTTTCCAAATGCTGTACATAAATCCCTGTATAAAATCAACACAGAGAATGAGACCCTGGTGTCGCCTTTGGGTTGGCAGCTCAACTCCCTCACTGACTAGGCCACCAGAGCTCCCTATGGAAGAAATTTTAGAGACAGGTCAATCTCACACATTCCAACTGATGAGAATATAAGGACTGAAGAAAGACTTGTCCAAGGTTTCACAGCTATTTCATGATTCGTAACACCAATCTAAAAAGAAATCTCTATGCCATAAAATGGGAGTTATTGCCCAACAGGATCTGAATGACCCACTTTCCCATTTTTTTATGAGAAGCTTTACTCAACTCTTAGAAGCAGATATTACCTACCCTATTAGTCCAGCAGCACACGCTACTACTCCATCTGTATGATCCTCATCTCCAGCAATGTGGTCAATGAAAGACAGAATAAATTCTACCCTGGGTTGGACGAGCATAACATCCGCTATAAAGAGAGAGAATGTCTGAAAAAATTGTCCCACATGACAGAACCACACCTCTCTCTTCAAAATGTCCAAGTACTTCATTTCATTCCCATTAGAGAGTCAGGCTGAATAGTTAGCAGCATATAGGTATGCCAAATTAATTCTTCCTCAGATTAAAATATCATTCCTCACCTTATAGAGAGACCAGACAATATGGAAATAATGGAATTTCCCTCTATAAGCAAGGGAGGTTAAAGAGCAAAGAAATAAAACTTCAGCTAATATGAACATCTAATTCCCAACCCTGTAATTGAGTTCCACCGGGGCTCAACAATTGCCACTCATGAATGGTTAGCACAGAATGCAACTAGCATCTGGTACAGCTTTTTTCAACAGCCTTGCTGGTGTCAACCCAAATTCAGTGGCTCAAAGAGGAGGGCTAGCAGTCATGTATCTCTACATAACTATTGGCCAGTGATCTAAGTATTGTATACTCAACGGTGTACGTTCTCCTGATCTCCCTTCAATCCCTGGACGATTCCAGTATATGCTTCCAAGCAGCCTTCTCTTAGTTCATTCAGATAATCCACCATGTCATAGTCTGACTGTGAAAAACAAAGAACAGAAACACTACTGATCACATTTAGTTATATGCTTATAAAAAGTCTCTTTCCTCTAATCAGGGATGCAACTTAATACCAGCAAGAGAGTTTTAAACTAACCTTGTCAACCTGGGCTTGGGATGCCTGCTGCAGAGTATTCAGTACCACCTCAAGGTATTTTTTGAACTCTCCACCAATAGCAAGGGCTATATCACCAAACACTGAAAGAATCTGTGGTTTCACAGACCTGTGGACATTCTCATTCTTAAAAGAGGGAACAAAAAAAAGGGAAAACACACAGTAAACATCTGAGACATCCAAAGACACAAAAAACTTTTTTTAGTAAATTCCTATTATTAAATAACTATATATTCCTTTATACCTTATAACCACTCCCATCTTCATTATTAATTCTATGATGCTAGGACAAGATTGTTATTCACACAATACACATACAACTACTTGAAATGCAGATTTGTCTGATACACTCAGCCATAAAGCTCTGAAAATATAAATGGTAAAACATACACAAAAATGGTGCTTATCTCTGGCTACCTTTTTCTGTTGTGATTTTTTTGCACCACTAACTTTACAATCACTTATAATAGTTTCCGATCACAAATATAAATGTTTTAACTATTTCTCCAACTGATCATTTCTTTGAAAGTGGTACAGACACTCACTCCCAAATTTTCCAGAAGCAACTGCATCACTTCATCACAGAAAGGCAAGATGTTGGACTGTAGGGCACGGCATAAATCTCCCACTAAGCCCACAGCTGAGAAACAAACCTGCAAAAAAAACAGTAACTTTCAAACAGAACAGTCACTATTAGAAGACATTTTTTTTATCTACTTGCTTGTTCTTTATCACGTAAACCTAGAACCAAAGAAAAACCAATGTTCACCAAGGCCATAGCTTTAAAAAAAAAGTGGGGGGGGGTGTTTTGGTGGCCTAGTGACAAGAAGCTGCACTGCAATCTCAAGAGGTGCACGTTTCAAATCCACCAGATGTTCTGCTGAAGAAGGAGGGACAATCTCTTCCTTTACCAGTCAGATCCCATTTGACAGTACACACAAGAAAATAAAAAAAAGAAAATGTGCCTTGCTACCTAGTATGCTGCTGATAGTACAATTTTACATCACTAACAATTATCTTGTCTTCAAGGCAACAATTAAAGCAGCTGAGACTTCAGGCGATGCACAGGGAAAAATCATCTAAACCATCTTTTATGATTGTTGCCATCAAGTTGAAACCGATTCACAGAAGACCCCTCCAGTAGGTTTTCGGAGGCAATAGACTGCATGGGAGGAGATCACATATTCTTCTCCCTGGGAGCAACTGGTGGAATCTGATCTGACTTTACTACAATGGTTATTAGTTATGATACAATATGTTTAATAAAAGATTATTTTGACAAGCATATCCTACCTGATACTCGGCATAGTTTTTCAATCCAATGCCCAGGAAGGGTTTGAAGGCCTCCATGTACTTTAGAAATTCACCACCCAGCACTGCAATGAAACAACAAAAAGTTAATGAGTGGACCTCAGGATATCACCCAAGTGAGTAGAAATTCTAGTTCTCCCAAATGTTATTTACATCACATTAACAGGTTCAGTGGCGTGTAGGTAAACTACTAGGTCCATTATTAAGATACTGAGGCCATCTAAAACAACTAAGATATATCATCTCACCCCAGTAAGAATAGCAAAATTTAAGAAAACAACAACAAATGCTGGTGGTTGTAGAGAAATTGGAACCCTTATTCACTGTTGGTGGGAGTGTAAAATGGTGCAACCATTATGGAAGGCAGTATGGGTGCGTTCTCAAAAAGTTGGAAATAGAAATACCATCTGACCCAGCAATTCCACTACTGGGAACATACCCCAAAGAAACCAGAACTGCCACCCAAGCAGATATATGCTCACAGATACATGTTTATTGCAGTCTTGTTCACAATAGCAAAGAGCTGGAAACAACCCAAGTGCTAATCAAAAAACAAATGGATAGAGAAGCGCTGTGTGTGTGTGTGTGTGTGTGTGTGTGTGTGTGTGTATCAATGGAATATTATGCAGCACTGAAAAACAAGGAACTCATGAAATATACAAAATTGGAGACCATGGAAGACATTATGAGCGAAAAATCTCAATTACAAAAAGATAAATACTGCTTAATGCCACTATTATAAAACAGGACCGATATGGGGGTTAGGGAAAAACAGAAAAGAGGGGATAAATAATGTACATGGAAACAGACAAGGGAGAGAACTGTATAGAAAGAATATATGATTAGGTATTATTGGCATGACAAGAGTCCACAATAAGAGTTGCATAGTAAGGTGGGGGGGCCGGGGCGGCAGGGCGCGCAACTATACAATGGTACAATGAAAGAACCTTTTTTTCCAAAGAAAAAAGCAAATTGGGTGGGACAGGGAGGAAAATGTGTAACAATGAATGAATGGAAATCCAAGTTCTTTATAAACTTTCATTAAAACTGAAAAAATAAGGGAGCGCTGGTGGCCTAGTGGCAAGACGCTGCACTTGCAATCCCAGAGGTATGCGGGTTCAAATCCACCAGATGCTCTGCTGGAGAAGGAGGGGGCAATCTCCTCCTGTACCAGTCAGATCTGATTTGACGGTACATGTAAAAATAATACAATAAAAATAAAAACAAAAGAAAAAATAAAGTTACTGAGGCCATCTTACATAAGCAAAATCTGTTACTGCTGGATTGGCCAAATTGCAACATGGTAACACAATGTCAAGCTCTACAAATATGATTTCATTCTGGCCAAACTCATAAAATAAACCCAATTAAGAGCCAGCTATGCGTTTGTTCTGATTTGACAATCAATGGATGAAAAGTGGTACTGTTCTTATGGAATTTCAAGGTTAATTCTAAATTGGCTCAAATAGTACTACTTTTTGTCTAGTCCCTTACTTGATTATAACACATTCTTACTGGGAGTCAGCTTGAAAGCAGATAAAACTCAAATGCTTACTGGATTTTATGCCAAAATTAACATCATTGACCTTTCCGGATGGTCACTTTCTTAGACCAGTTGGACATTAAAGTCTTTTATGCCACAAACACACTTAATCCTAAAGGTCAAGAGTGGTCCTCAGATTTCTATAAGGGGTATTCTAGGTTTTCTGAAGTGCTCTTCAATGCACTTTCAAAGAACCTAAAGTCACATGGACTATTCCTAACTAATTTCATACAGATTTGCATTAATCAAATTGATTTATATCCTTTAATGTTTGCAATGTTTTATCCTATGCCACACTAGCCTTTACGTCAACGAGATGCCTATGGACTCCAACCCCAACCACCAGGAGTCAGAGTGGGAGCAAAAAATCTCCCTTTTTACTACTTCCATCCTTGATAAAGGCCAGATTTTAATAAAGCGAGCAGGCATGTGTGTATACGTGACAGGACTGAGGACAGGTGCAGGAAAGATCCTGATGATCATCAGGTATGTAGTAACAAAACCCTCCCCCTAACAGGTTACCAATTCTGGTCATAAACTTCATCCACATTTACTTTTAGCAGACTGAATGGCAGTTACACAAAGTACGCCTAAATAGAATTCAACTTTGAGGTGACCTACGTCCCAGTAAACGAGAAAAGCATGGTCTCTGGTGGTGTATTTAAACTGAAGACACTGCCTGCCAGATGTCAGCTTACTGACCTTCAACCAATGTCCCAACTGCCATCAGGGCATCCTCTTGTACTACGCCAGAACCAGCTGTGCTCTGGAACATTCTTAACAAAGAGGCCATAACTACATCAGAGATCTGCAAAGCATCTTGATGCTGCACTTTTCGAAGAACATTCTGTGAAATAAAAAAAAGAGTTCAGTATCTACTGGTTCTAAATCTTCCAATTCAGAACACTGACAATTTTTCTCAGTAAGTCTCTTTGACTGCTCAGGAGCTTTAATAGTATAAATTATCTGCATCACAACATTCCCTTTAATATACCTTCTATTTCCCAATTCATAACACACATACAGGATAGCCTCTAATGCACAGCCAAGGAACTCTGATGGCCTAGTGGTTAAGTAATGTAATTCCTAAGATACTTGGTTTGAATCCACCGGCTGCTCCTCGGGAAGCTGGGCAATCTCCTCCCATATGATATAACTGCATCTGAAAACCCACCAAGAGTCAGCAATGGGTCAATTACAGCACACAACAACACAGAACCATCTTCTCTGCAGGTCACTTATATTTAACAAACAACCACGAGTAGCTTCCTTACAGTATTCTCATGGAATGGCAGTTATTTTTTTTTATTAAAGATCATATCATAGAAGAGTTCTTGTAAAACAATTAAAAAAGCAAGCTTTCTGTATCTTAATTTAAAGATGTAGGACAAGAAATAATCTTGGTAAATGGAAACCTGACTTCTCTCAAATTCAATCAATTTCCCCTAAGCCACCTCCCCATGCTTTCATTTGCTTCAAATGATCTGGACTATTCCTGTAATTGGTCTGATGAGAAAGATTTCTGAACATACAGTATAACCTCCTTAAAAAAAATCCACTGCCATCAGGTCCACAAGATGATGTTAGAAAAGGAAATAATGTACAACATAAACAGTCTTCCAAGCATCCTGAAGCCAGAAGAGGATAAAATAGATGATTGGGACCTTATAAGAATCAAATCCCCATGTACATCCAAAAAACTTAACAGGGTAAAAAGGGAAGCCACAGACAGGGAAAAAAATATTTGCTAATGACATGTCAGATAAACAACTATTATCTAGATTTTACAAAATACTCAAACCACAACAAGGTACAGGTAAACAACCCAACTGCAAAATAGGCACAAGATATGAACAGACACTTCGACAAAGACGACAATCAGATGGCCCCCTAGCTCTAGAAGAGATGTAAATCAAAACAACTATTACATATAATCTCACCTCAGTAAGAATAGCAAAATTTAACAGAACAGCAAAAAACAAATGCTGGCAAGGTTGTGAAGAAACTGGAATCCTTATTCACTGTTGGTGGGAATGTAAAATGGTGCAACCATTATGGAAGGTACTATGGCGCTTTTTCAAAGAGTTGCAAATAGAGATACCATTTGACCCAGCAATTCCACTACTGGGAACATACCCTAAAGAAACCAGAACTGCCAGTCAAGCAGATGTATGTACACCCATGTTTATTGTGGCTTTATTCTTAGAAACAACCCAAGTGCCCATCAACAAACAAATGGATAGAGAAGCTGTAGTATATTCACAGGATGAAATACTATGCTGCACTGAAAAACAAGGAACTCATGAATTATTATACAAAATAGGTGACCCTGGAGGACATTATGCTGAGTCAAACATCTCAGCCACAAAAAGAAAAATGTGGCATAATGCCACTGTTATAAAACAGGACTGACATGGGGGCTGGGGGAAACTAAGAAAAGAGGGGGTAAATAATCTACATGACATTGAAACAGACAAGGGAGAGAATTGTAGAAAAGGAATATATGATTAGTATTACTGGCATGACAAAGAGTCCAGAAGAAGAGCTGCATAGTTAAGTGGTCTGAAGTGGGGGACTGTAACAATGAAAGAACTTTTTCCCAAAAGGAAAAAGTGATGGGGTGGGGTGGAGCCATGCAGGAAATTGTGCAACAATGAACGATAGGAAACCCAAGTTCTTTATAAACTTTCATTAAAATCTTATTTTTTTTTTTAAAAAAGGAAATAGAACCGTAACCTCTTTGTGGGGTATACATTTATTTTAATTATTTTATCATCTCGCAAAGTCTACTGTAGAAACTTCATGATAAGCCCATGCACTCCAGAGCTGAACAGTGCTCCATAGCATTGATATTGAAAAGGACCAATTTTCCCAGGTTTTCTTCCTAAGTACCAACAACCCAATTTACATTAACAGTCCAATTCCTTTTAACTATTTGCAACACCCAGGGAGCAGGCACTGCAATGCAATTACAGACTATAAATTAAGTAAATGACAATAAAGGCTGCTAAAGAAGTCTATTTTTATAGTTTGATTTTTAGCACAATGAAACTCTGAATCTCACCTGATTGGGTTAGGCTAAGACTGAAAAAGGCCAACACAAACCTAGTTTCATCAACCAAGCAACTACATTGTAAAAACATGGATCTTTCCAGGTCTATGAGAAAATTATTCTGCCAGTCAGTCACAGGCTAAGACCTTTTGAAATAATTTAAAAATTCTGTATGAACAGGGAGCACTGGCGGCACAGTCCTTAAGGAACTGCACTCTTAACACAAAAGCAGCTCCTCTCTGGCAATTTGAGTCTACCAGATGCTCTGTGGCAGAGAAATGGGCAATCCCCTCCTGTGTAATTTACAGCCTCAGAAAACCCACTGGAGGATCAGCTATGAATAGGTTTGGACTCAAGATCATCAAGGGGTTTTATTTTATGTATACAAACTTGCTGAAGATAGGGACTTTCTCGAGTTATTAAGTGGTAAGTTCCATCATACCTGAAGAGTTGCACACAGTAAAGACTGAAGGTCATTGAACTGGATCCTATCAGAAGTGCTCTGGATATGCGACTGTAAGAAACAAAAAAATTAAATGCACACCTATGTTTACTATGGCTTTGTTCACAATAGCAAAGAGGTGGAAACAACCCAAGTGCCCATCAACAAACGAATGGATAGAGAAGCGGTGGTACATTCACAGGATGGAATACTATGCTGCATTAAAAAAAAAGGAACTCATGAAATATCATACAAAAGTGATCCTGGAGGACATTATGCTGAGGGAAAGATCTCAGTCACAAAAGGACAAATATTGCATAGGGCCACTATTGTAAAACGGAATTGACATCAAGGTTGAGGGAAGACTGCAAAAGAGGGGATAAATAATGTATACTGCATTGAAAGAGATGAGGGAGAGAACTGTTTAAAAGGTATGATTAGGTATTATTGTCATGACGGGACTCCAGAATGAAGGCTGCGCAGTGGCATGGACTTGGGGGGAAAGATTATATAATAATTAAAGAATTTTTCTTTTACTTTTCAAAGAGGAGAGAGAATTTGGGGGCATAGAGAGAAAAGTGCAACAATGAACGGAAACCCTAAATCTCTGTAAATTTTCATTAAAATTAATAAACAAAAAATATAGAAGAATTCAAAGTACTAAATCATGTATGGAGATTCAAGTAGAGAAGGGGTTGGGAAAATAGGGAAAGAGTTGGGAGAGGGGAAACCACAGGGTTGGACAATTTGATGGATGAAGGAAGGGGGTAAAAGAAATGGGAAAGATCCAGCAGAACCTGAAAAGATAGGGCAATTAGAAGTATAATGAAATGAGATTTTATGAAACACAATGTATGGGATTGTATGAAACCAATGTAACTGAAGGAGAAGTGTGAAACACAATGTATATGAATTTGTGATAGAAAAAATCATATTTAAACAATTCTTCCAAGGTTCTAAATAAAAGCCTCCATTATTGCTAGTTTTGCAGGTACTAAAGAATTTTTATTGATGCTAACATAACAAATTCATCTCATCTAGGGTCATCCTCTCCTGAGCTGTCCCTTCACCCTTTTGAGCAAGATGTTATTCTCTAAGGACCAGTCTCTTCTGGCCATGTGCCCAAAGTGAGGTTGTTGTTGTTATGTGCTGTCGAGTCACCTGCGAATCATAGCGACCCTATGTACAACAGCCCTAAACTCCGCTCTGTCCTGTGCCAATCGCACTGTCTCTAACACTCCCATCCCAATTATCCCAGTCACTGAATCAATCCACCTCATAGAGGGCCTTCCTCTCCTGCGCCGTCCCCTCCACCCTCCCAAGCATGATGTCCCTCTCTAAGGACCGGTCTCTCCTCACAGCATGTCCAAAGTAAGTTAGACGGAGCCTCAGAATCCTTGCCTCCAAGGAGCCACCCAGTTTAACCCTTTCCAGGACAAATCTGTTTGTTTTCCTAGCAGTCCATGGTATTCTCAATACTCTTCTCCAGCACCACAGCTCAAAGGCATCAATTATCCTTCTATCCTCCTTGGTCATTGTCCAACTCTCTGATGCATAACAGGTGATTGTGAAGACCATGGCCTGTATCAGACGCAGCTTAGTTTCCAAAGAGACACCACTGCTCTTCAGCACTTTGGTGAGGTAGAGCTTCAAAATCCTAGCCTCCAAGGAGAGACTTAGGTTTCACCCTTTCCAAAATAAACAATTTGTTTTCTTGGCAGTTAACAGTATGTTCAAGATTCCTCTCTAGCATCACAACTCAAGGGCTTCTAGTTATCTTTAGTCATGCTTAGTCATTGTCCAGTTCTCTGAAGCATAACAAGTAATTGAGAAGACCATGTCCTGGTTTAGGCGTACCTTTGCATCTAGACTGACATTGTTGCTCTTCAGCACTCTGAAGAGGTCCCTGACAGCAGATTTTCCAAATGCAATTCGTCTTTTGATTTCCTGACTGCTGGTGTTTAGAATGATGATTGTGGATCTGAGCAAGCTGTGTTGGAATTAGTGAGTCTGGCGCAGGGCAGGGAAGGGTTCATATCTGATGTACATAGGGTCACTATACAACACAGGCGACTCAATAGCACATAACAGCAACAGCCTACTATATGGGTTGTTTTTTATTTAAGCCTCATGTTTAGGGACAAGAAAACCTCAGAGAGGGCCTTTGTATTTAAAGTTAGTTGTTTTATTTTGGAGGAACATTCTTCTTTGTGGTACAGCACTCTTTTGCCAGTATGCTGTACTAAGGTAACCTGGGGTTGTTGTGATGCTGAACCTTGTGTCTTTGGCGCATCAAATGCTGTAACGGTTTCCCAGGGTGGAAAGTGCTTGATGGAGCTCCCAGTTTAAGACATGTTTGGATGGTGGAGTGGCAGCCACTTCCTAAACAACATGCCTCTGGAAACTCTACAACCTTTGATTAATGTCGATAGTTATAGAAAGGCTTCAGGTCGTTTGTTCATAGGGTTTCTATGAGTCATGCTCGACTCAAAGGCAATCAACAACAACATAATAAAGTAAGTAAGACATATGGCATACACAGTATGATTGAACTTTCCCCACGAACAGTCAGGAGTGTTGTTAAGTCTCACCTCCATCTGAAGCACTTGCTGTAGTCGCTCCATTATGACCAGAGTAGTTTTCTGAACTGCAGGGTAACAATCCTTGGCACTATTCTTCACAATTTCCATTAGAGATTCATAAGCAGCACTCCTTAGGTTGTTCTGGTGTCCATCAGGCCTGTTAAAAGAATGCCGAACAGAAACCTCACAGTCTCAACTAACAAGGAAAAAGAAGAAAGAAGTTCTTACAATGAGTAACGTCTCACTGAAGATAGTAACTCTGAAATTGCTGTGGTGGTAAACCTGGTCTGCAGTTTGATAATACCATAGCCAAGTCAATGACTATATTCATGGGATAATTTCTCTTCTACCAAAATCAAATACTAAGATTAACTGTGACACAATAAAATTATTTTAGCACACTTACTCTGAAAGCAGCAGTAAAATGCAGTGGATAGAGTTCTCAAACTTTAATTGTGAACACAACAATGCTAGTTTTTATTTAAAATAGTCAACTGACTACAGTGTTTCTTAATTACTTCAGCAAGAGTTTCTGTGTTTCTATAATTAGTCTAGATATCCCCCTCCCCCACTTATGTAAAACTCATTGCTGTTGAGTCAGAACCAACTAATAGGTGATCCTCCAGGAGCCTCTGGTGGATTTTAACAGATCAACACCCTAAGGCTACAGAGCATCCTAATCCCTCACAGACAAATCAGTAATAAGTTGATTCCAATTCTACCATGCAGTATCATCATTTACCTATCTGTGGTCTCTAGAAGCTTCTGAACTATGAGTTCAAATGAAGACGATAAGCAATAGGTAGCTGGTTCTTCCTGATCATCAGCTACATCCGCAGCTTCATAAGCAGCTTCAGCGAGACTGGAAAAAGCCTGAAAGTCAAAAAGACTTAATATTACTCCTGACAAGAACTCCATTCCAGTATTTCCTTAAGATAGCTCTAAAGAGAAACCAACACTAGTGAATCTCTACATCCCCTGAATTTTTTGACTTTATTTCCACTCTTATTTTGTCTTCCTTTCTCATGCCCAAAATGTCCCTAATGAACTGACTCAGCATAAAAGCCTATACTAGGTTCCCCTTTCCTCCCTGAACCATTACTTTCCCCTTCCCTTACAAAAATTACTTATTGCAAAGCAACTAAGAGGAAAAAAAAAAAGAATCTAAATAGTCTTCCTGCTGGGTTAGTTTGACTCTCTAAATGGTCTCGTGGTAACTAGTCACTGAGTCAAAAGCTCCCACTGGCTCTTGCAAGTTGTTGTCTCCTCCACATTGTAACTGAAAAAATTAAGGAGAAGCTAGTCAGAAAAGCCTTCCAGTGAATTAAAGCCATTTTTCTCCCACACTTTCTACTCCTTCTTGCCAACAACTCAAGCTCCTTGTCTTACCAGGAAGAAACTCTCTTACCCAACACACATTTGAAGCCACTCTGGGTTCAGCACTAAGACCTTCAATCAGACACTGCATCAGTGGAGCCAAGTAGACATCATTGATGGCAGCTTCAGGAAGCAATTCACAAATTCTGCCCACAGTCCATGCAGTTGTATCTCGAACAACTACACTGGGGTCTTTCATTAATTCTATTAAGGTGGGCATGGCCTGAAAATAAACAACCATTACCAAAGCAAAAGTAGTACTATAAATACTGAAGAATGAATTTTAATGGAAGACAATTTTTAAAAGTAAATTAAAGGGGGGAGGTGTGACAAGGAGAAAAGAAAAGAATATAATCCTTATACTGGAATAGGTAAAGGGAAGGTCAACCGAAATTGAAGATGACCCGATATACGTATGTTGTTGTTAAGTGCCATCGAGCCACAGGCAACTCACAAAGACCCTATGAAGGAGAATCCCCAATGCTTGGGTGTCTTTCATCCTCTCTCCAGGTTCATAGGGTTTCCAGAGGCAAGTGATTACGGAAGTGGACGCCACTCCTGCTTCCAAAGCTTGTTTTAATCGGGGAGCTCCACCCCACTCTCTGTCCGCATTGGGTAACCAACCATTAACGCATCTGACACATCAGTGTCACAGCATTCAGCCTCACAGCAAGCACAAGTTACTGCTGTACAGCAACTTATACACCAGGGCTATACGACCTAGAGGAATGTCTGTATGTATAGAAAATAATAATCTGGAAAATGATATGCACTATGGATTAAATGAGGTGGGAGAGAGGAGAAAGTGAAAGAAATAGCAGTAAACAATAAAGGTCTGCTTAGGCACTGTAATAAATTAACTGCATCAGTTAATGACAATCTGAAATAAACAATTAAAACTTTCACTTAAATAAAACAATTTTTTAAAAAAAGTAGTAAGTAAGAGGAAAAGACCCTTATCCTGTCTTCACCAAACACCACTATGGAGTATGGAATGAATGCTTTCAGGAAAGACATCTGATGATAGTCACGATGGCATCCTGAAATGCCTGAAGACAGAATCCACCAACTGCTCTGTGGGACAAGGATGAGCAATCTCTTCCTGTGTTAGAATAGTGTCTCTGAAACCCCTCAGAAAAGTTTAGTTAAGGGTTGGTTTTAACTCGACGACACATAATACCACAAGGATTTATACAGGGAGCTCTGATGGCTTAGGGGTAAAGAAATTACACATGCCAACAAAAAGGTATGCAGTTCTTAATCCATCACCTGCTCCATGGAAGAGAAGGATGGGGAAACTCCCCTCATGCAATTTAATGCCTCTGAAAACCACTGGAGTCACCTGTGGGTGGTCCCAACATGGTGGTACACACAACATGACTTATATAACAATTCTGTAAAAATCAAACTCAAACCTAATGTTGTCATTTCCAACCTATAGGACAGAGCAGGATTGTCCATAGGGTTTTCAAGACTGTAAATCTTTATGCAGACTGTCTCATCTTTCCTACAGAAAAGTTGGTAGGTTCAAATCACCGTTCTTCTGGTTTGCAGCAGCTTCTTTAACCAGTGTGCACTATCAGAGCTCCTTTTCATTTATACTTTATATTTAACTGACAACAAATAATGATTATTTATATCTGTCTTTAAAGGCATACTTTTAAATAATGAATTTATATAACAATAAATATCCTATCCTCCATCCCCAAACTCCTTTGCTTCACCTGTATAACTAGTGGTTTTAGCTGATTGGGTTCTGGTCCTTCCAAGATAGAGCCAAAAGCCATCACGGCTGCATCCCGGTATCTCCAATCTGGGTTCTTGATGTGTTCTTTAATAAAGGGCAGGACATGTGGGACAATGTCATCTTCACAGCAGGTGGCCAGAAGCATAAGACAAACTCCTGCTGCTTTGCACGGGTTCCAGTCATCATCATCATCATTTTCATCCTGGGGTAAGAATGCAGCAGTAGTTAAGGTTTCTGACTACTCCCAGTTGCCTCCAAACCTTAACCTTTGGAAAAATAATTTAGAAAAACACCAATTTTATCACTTTCACAGAGTAAACATATATACAGCTTTTGTTAAGTAATATGTAGATAGAAATAGCTTCCACTAATACAAGAGAAATTTCAAGTCAAATATATTTCTATCTTGAGACTGCTATATGGATATTAAAAGAGATATACACTAATTCTTGCATACAAAGACATTTTAAGAGTTTCCAAAGTCATGGACTCCTTTATTTCCCAAGCAACAGAATCAACAAAAAGTACCTTTCAGACATCAAAATAAGAAAAAAATCATTATATAGAAACAAGAGTAACCAAAATAATTCATAATCCAAGCTCATTAATATTTAAAGTATACATAAAAAACTTGTTAACCCATGAAAATATCCTAGAATGCTTGAGTAATCTAACACTTTCACATCTATTCTTAACTTTTATTTTAGAAAGAGACTTTTAAATTTTTCTCTTGTGATCTGACTGGCATAGGAGTAGATTGCCCCTCCTTCTCCAACAGAGCATCTGGTGGATTTGAACAGAGTGCCTTTGTGATTGCAGCACAGCTTCTTGCCTCTAGGCCACCAGGGCTCCCTTTTTAATTTGTATACAGTGTCTCTTGTCTGAAAAATGTTACACTCAAAAAATCAAGAGCATTATGTATTTCATTTCTGATCAAGACATTTGGATTATTCAGACCCACTTCTTTCATAAACAACTCAAGAGCTTAGGAAGTCCCCAAGTCATCTGTAACAGAACATAAAATAGATTGAGGTATTGCCAAGCTTTCTTAAGGAAACAAACCATGCAACTTTACAAGGTCTCAAAAACTATATAGATGGGTTTGCAACATATCCCACCTGTTTGTTTAGTGTCTGTGTAAGGATTGGAACCAGGTACTGCAGTGCTCCCTTAGCATAAAACTTGCTGGTGTGCTCAGGGGGTCGTCCTTGTTCTGCCGCCTGAAAAGAAAACATATTTTGAACAGTAGTGAACAAGTTACAATACTAAAAGAATATGAATGCAGGCAAGGAATCCACAGCAGAAATATATGGGACCAGTGATAGTAATCACTGTGATCTTTAGAAGGGCTTATTTTTTTAACTTACTTCCATGAAACTTCCAGGACACATATGTAATGTATCTTTTTACATGTATGTAATATACAGTAAAACAACTTTAAGAATTATATGCTATTCTCACAAACATAATTTCTATCAACAAGCTGTCATCTAAATGATCTTTGTTTTGGATTAAGAGACACCAAATCTACTTGACATTGTATTTTAAAAGAGCATGAAGACAGTGAGGCTTGTGTTCAGAGATGGGGAGTATAGAACTGTTCCCGTTCTTTCACCAGAATTACAAAAATATCTATATATGTATCTCAGACTTACACTGGAACTTAGATACAAAACAATGCTGCATCAGGTGTCACCTCCTAGAATAGCCTGCTGCCCCCTTGCGTTCACAGTATAAAAATATTTAAACTAAACCATGCCATGTGCATGAAGGTGAACACAAGAGATGCCTTATTACTGCTATCTGTCTCCCGTCTGAGGTACTATGGGTGGCAGAAATTTCATAATTGGGGGATTTGGGGGGGGGGGCCAACTCAGAACAAAAGCTTTCTCAACAGAACATTCACAAATGAGATGCATGCCAAAGCCCAGCAGAAATAAAAGCTTCACATACTTCCCCCACAATCACTATTCCTGCTCACCTCTGAAGCCTCAATGGCCAAATCCATTTCCTCATCACAGACATTGGACCAGAATTCTATTCCTTGTAGTGCCACCTCATCAATGTCACTTTTCATGGCTTCAATTGTGATCTTAAGGGGGGAGGGGGGGGAGACATTTTAGTCCCAAATAAGTGCTTATGCAAGGTAAGTTTACCTCTGACCACAGATAGCAAATTTCAAAACAGATTGATATAAGCTATGTGTGAAATAAAAGGTAGAAACAGTAAGAATTTTTTAAAGAAAGGAAGTGAGCAAAAATTAAACAGATAAATTGGTGAAGGAAAAGGCAATATATAATAAGGGTTTGAAAAGATACTGCAATTAATCAATGGTAATTAATGTTACAAAATAAAACGTGCATGAATTACTGAATAAAAACCAGTATGATTTGTAAGCATGTAAATAAAAATTTTTAAAAAGGGGGAGGAAGATAGAAACTCTTTAATCATCACAAAGCACAAATTTTGTCACAATACCAGTGAATTTAAATACCCAAGACTATCAGATTAAAGGAATTTCCTTGATTTCAAAATATTCAGTTAAAAACTCAAATCCCTAAAATAGGAATACTTACAGCAAAAAGAGCAGGACCCACACATGTTCTCTTAATACAAGGACATTATCTTCACTAAATTCTGTAATGCAGCCACTCGTACCTTTTACAAAGACATTAAACAGTGTACTAAAATAACTCATTTGCAAAAAAATGGATCAATATTCTAAAGCCTTGGCTACCTACATCAAAACAAATTTATCACTTCAACCTTTCTTTACACAGGTCATTATTTCCCTCCCCTCATCACATTTTTGTTTGTCTGGGCACAACTAAACTCACTTATGCCATTCAGGTTTTACTCTCACCTGATGGAAGGTCAAGGTTAGGCAACAAAAATTAACAAAGTTGTTTCATCTGTTACAATTCACAATGAATATTTAAATAACCTATGTCAATTAAGTAGCTAAGCTCAGGAAAAATAATTTCTCTTCTAAATCTTTAAGAGGATGACAATTTCCAGGAACTTTTAAAGTGTGGTCTTTCCCTCTTGACCATGTTGGAAAAAATATTTTAAAAAATAAAATTAGTCAAATCTTACTTCTCCAGACAACAGCTAAAGAGTATTTCAAACAACTATGTAGTAGAACTGTCATCTCTTAGGAAAGCTAAAATATGGAAATTTTTCATACAAACCCATGCTTTCCTATCTGGACACTCTCACTTACCCTGGTATCTGGACACTGTGTGGCTTCACAGACCACCTGCATAATAAAGTGCCTTTCAGACTGCAGGAAGAATAAAGACAATTAGGAAAACAGAAATATGGTTAGACTGTACAAGAACCCTGAACTCCCTGGCTCCATTCAACCCCGGCATCAAGAAGCTTTTTCCTACAGACAGCAATGATATTACGGAAGCTTTATTATAAAAAGGACTTATCCCTAGTATCTGCTATATGACCTGCCCTCTAAAGAAGTGCCTAATCTTTTAATCTCTAAAATGACCTTCATTATCCAGACTTCAGGGAGGAAGGAGAAAGGAAAATAGTTTATGGATTTAAATAAAGAGGACTAGTCAAAATCTCCTATTTGTAGGAAAATAATTTTCTGATTATTCAAAGTACCTGTTTTACTTCAGAGATGAACATTTTAGACATTATTCCTAAAAATCTGAGGCGAAATGGTAAGTATGTACTCTATGGCTATCTTATATAAATCAGAAACTCAAACTAGACTGGAATACAGTGTTTCTAAACAAAATAGCATCTCCTTCCTCAAACCTTTTTTCATAAATTATAAATTTAACTCCCCCCAAAACCCTTCCATCTAAAATCCATTTCCTACTTTTCATTTAAAAAAATAAAGCCACAACACCCCCCCCCCCAATTTACCTCTTTGTCAAAGTTTGCTTTGGTGAATTCCAATGAGTTCAGGAGTGCGTTAGTAGCTGCTAGCTTCACATTATTACTAGGTTCTTCTTTCCTCATTCCCTGGATTATAGCAGTCAGAATCTCATTAGATTTATCCTGTAGCTGTTCTGGGTCCTGAAACAAAAAACATGGGGTGATAAATAAACAAGCCATACACATCAACTTCATCTCCAGAATTCTTAGCAAAATGACTGAACAGTTTTGAGTTCCTCTCCTCCTTTTTTTGACAAGAGGTAAAGTTGGTTTTTCAAAATTAAAAGAAAAGGAAGTTAGCATTGCAATCCCCAGAGGTATGCGGTTCGAATCCACCAGATGCTCTGCTGGAGAAGGAGGGGCAGTCTCCTACTGTACCAGTCAGATCTGATTTGATGGTCTACACACACTATATATATACACACCCCCAAAGAAATGGAAGGTCCTGCCCCCTTTATGCAAATGAAGATAACTGGCTATTGGATTTCTCAGGCTATCTATACCAAATAAAGTAAAAATTTCTTAATAACACAGGGCTAAAGGCTAACACTTGGCTATATCTAGGCACTGAAATTCAGGTTAAATCCTGTGGACTACTTTATTTCATTAGAAAGGTATATAATAGCCGATCAGCATTAATAGCTCAAATGGAGTAGTACTCATTCATAGTACAATAAAGACAATAAGGAAACAATCAGGTCATAGATGCTCCAAGCTAGAAATGTACAGGATATAAGTCTCACCAAATGTACAGATTTCCATTAGGAGTTTGTAACTTTTAAAACTCTTTACTTTAGTCAACTAACAGAAATACCACAAATTAGTGACCATAAAAAAAAAAAAAAGGTGCAACCACTGTGGAAAACGGTGTGGCGCTTTTCTCAAAAAGTTGCAAATAGAGATACCGTTTGAACGAGCAATTCCACTACTGGGAATATACCCTAAAGAGACTGTAACTGACACCCAAGCAGATATCTGCACACCCACGTTTATCATGGCTTTGTTCACAATAGCAAGGAGTTGGAAACAACCCAGGTGCCCATAAACAAACGAATGGATAGAGAAGCTGTGGTATATCCACACAATGGAATACTATGCTGCATTGAAAAACAAGGAACTCATGCAATATTATTCAAAATGGGTGACCCTGGAGGACATTATGCTGAGTGACGTATCTCAGTCACAAAAGGACAAACACTGCAGGACGCCACTGTTGTAGAATGGGACTGACATCAGGGTTGGGGTAAGACTGAGAAAAACTAGACAAATTATGTATACTGCATTGAAACAGACGAGGGAGAGAACAATTTAAAAAGCAATATATGATAGGGTATTATGGTTATCACAAGAGTCGAGAATTAAGGTTCATAGTGGAGTGTACTTAGGGCAGTGGGAGGGTTGCGGGGGGACTGTATACCAATGAGAGAATTTTCCTTTTACTCTTTCTTCAAAGAGAGGAGCGAACTGGGGAACAGGCTGGGCAGGGAGAAAAGTGCAACAATGAATGAATGGAAACCCAAAATCTCTGTATCTGTAAATGTTCATTAAAATTAATAAAACAAAACTAAAAAAAAAAATTTCTTTTCTCAAAGTTTATAAAAGTAGAAGGCCAAACTGAGTGTGCTATCTCAGGAAGGTTTTCTTTGCCAGATCTGGAGGAAGGTCCTTGTTTCCTGAGCTTGGTTTCAAATATAACTTCACTTGGTCTGCTTGTTTAATCTAATCTGTCATATTTCAAAACACACCCTACAGTATCTGTCTCACTAGTGTAAAAAATATAACCCATTCTCATTGTTGAGTTGGAACTAACTCACAGATGATTCTCTAACAGGTTTTTGGGAGGTTGTTGCTGGTAGATTCCAATTACCAGAAAAGATGCCACCTTTGGGTTAGTAGAACAGTGCTCAACTCATTTTCAAAGGGATTATAACCACAGGCATGCAAGTTAGTATTTATAACTCAATTCAATCTGTAACGGTAACCAAATATACAAATCTAAGGGACAAAGAAGGCCCTTCGACTTTCAAGATACCCTCTATTTTGACATTATGCAAGTCACAACTAAAGGAAATAAGTAGAGAAGTTGAATACATGAGGAAAACACTTACTATATCTTGGCAAATGTAGCCAATAGCTTCCAACGTCGACTCTTTCATGTGCTCTGTGCTGTTGGGATTTGTAACATTGGCCACTAGCTGAGGAATGAGTTCTGGCCATTGGTTCACCGGTATCTCTGCACAAGCAATACCAGCCACACACTGAGAGGCTGAACTAGGCCGGTAGGTTTCTGTCCCCAGAGTCTGCAAAACCTGCAAAAATTTTTTTAAATAGAAAAACATTAATTTTGTCTATTGGAGTATATTTTTGTCTACTTACTTTCACTGCTGCTGGACTGGCACCAACTTCTAAGTGATCTTCCATGGGGTTTCAGAGGCAGTAACTGCAAAGGTGAAGGCTGCCCAATTTTCTCCTTTGGACAAGTTGGTGGATTCTAATTGTCTGCTTTTGGGTTGGCAGCAAAACTCCTTACCAACTTGCCACCAGAGCTTTCTACTTGCTTATTACACATTTTATATCAATTGTTGTTAGGGACCATGGAGTCAAGTGGAACTCATAGTGATTCAATGAACAATGTCCTATACTGTGCCATCCTCACCACCTCTGATATACTTTGAGCCCATTTTTAGTCACTGTGGTAATCTACCTCCACGAAGGTCTTCCTTTCTTTCACTAGCCTTTTTAAACATGTCCTTTTCCAAAGACTGGCCTCTCTTAACAACATGCCCAAATTATGTGAGACAAAGCCTCTAAAAGCCTTTTATGCCACTAAGGAACATCCTGGTTACACTTTCTCAAATACAGTCATCTCTATTTTTTAAACCAATCAGCCTCAGTACCAACTGCTATTAATCCACACAGTACCAATCCACACTACTCCAGGGCTAAAACCAAAGCCAGGCAGCCATGCTTCCAAACAGAATTCTGTGTAGCCTTACAACTCACCTCAAGGCAAGGTGAGAAACCAGTAGCAAAGAGAAAACATTGAAAGAGCAGGGTCTGGGCGACTATATTTAATGTTCAGGCTCTTTGTTGGTGGTATGCTGAAGGTTATCTGTAGTCTCAAATTGTGTTTTATAAACAACTGTGGAAGTGCTAAAAGGAAGCCAGTTAAGGAGTACTCAGGTGGATCTGATAACAAAGATCTTGGCCAACCAAGTAACACCACCAAATGCTGAAACAAAATTACTGATATTAACGTACCTACAAACTAACCTTTATTTAACTTTCAATCTGAAAGGATTTTGTTAGCCCAAAGAATTTTCTTCTTCTATCATCAAAGAGCAAGAACTGAACAGAACATACCTTATTTGGAATGGTAACTATTAATCTACCCAAATTTTCACATAAAGTCACAGGTTTTAAGAAAGATGAAGATACAACTGATCTAGGGTTAATTATTACCATGATCATTTAATTCAGTCAATGAACTCACCAAGAACCAACAGTCCACTCAAAAGTCAAGCAGTTAACTGTGGCACAGACAAAGGACAAAGAGTAGCTGCCAAATATTCAAGCCAGCTCTGCTGACTTGGTCAGGTCACTTAGTACTGTGCTTTGCAGCTAGTGGCTAATAATGAACCCAGCCTCTTTCCACATTATATTGTGTTATTATTCCTGCCCATTCCCACTAACTGCCTTTACCATTGAATCTGATCCTAGGTTTACATTTTCTCCTTCAAATTAATTCTACAAGATCCTTACTATTACTCAATGAATTTAAGAGACTACGGATAGCTCCTGAGAATTTAGGGGCTGGGGAAGTGGGGTACAAATAACAAGTCTTATTTATTGGAATAAAACGTGTTTCAATGTAAAATAAAAACCCAAAAACCTATCATTAGAGAGATTATCAGACAAAGGGTTTGGTGAGGTGTTTTGTTATACAAAGATTCACTCATGCTTATATAAATTCTCTGCCCAAATAAAATCCTTAAAAAAAAAAAAAATCTCAATTATTATGTAATTTGAAAGAAATGAGTAAATTTGGGCATTTCAGCCACCAAGATGATAGACTAAATTCCACTTGTGTACCAGCTGTAACAATGGGCTCAAATATATCCGAAGATGGCACAGGCTTGAATGCCATTTTTTTTAAATTTGTAAAGGCTCTGAGAGTTTGAACTGAATTGACAACAAGAACATAATAAATAAAATTCAACTTATGGGAATGTGCTCAAGATGAAGGGTATTAAAATGTTATTACATAAGCAGAGTCTATCTAGTAGAACAACACTAGATATTTCAAGAGTCAAAATAAGCTGGTTTTTTCTAGTTCCCAGTTGTGAGCATTCCCATTTAAGATTAGCATGAGGGGAAGATAAGAAAGAGAAGTTGTACCCGTAAGGGTTTACTACTTTTTTACCGAATGCTGATATACTTGGAACTAGGAAATGGCACGTAAGCTGCATTACTTCGACATGAATGTGTATATACACAGTGATCTATTAGCTTCCTTTTAGAGATCAAAGATCAACTCACTAACATCTGTCCATATATTCTGAATTCTTTGCTTCATCTAGAACTTCACATTCCTAACCTAATAAATCCCAAGATGTGAATGATTAAACAACAACAAAAATCAATGCCCCCAAGCTTACTGCCCTCAAGTGGATTCCAACTATGGTAACCTTTTATTAGGTTTTCAAGGCCATAAATCTTTATAAAACAGTCTTTCTCCCTAGTAGTTATAGGATTTGAACCACCAACCTTTCAGTTTCTGGCCTACCAAGTAATACATGACACCTCTAAAACTCCTTAAAGAGCAAGGAATTTACTTTTCCTCAAATACTAGGAAAACATAGTATCTCACTTCTCTAATGTTTCGAACACACATATGATCCTAATGAGCTTTCTCATAATTTGCTGAGTAAAAAGCACCACAAAAGAACGGAGACAATTTCTCTGTGGCTCTACACAGTGATATGCATACACCATGAAGAAAACATTTCCCACAATAGAAGCTGAACAAGAACTAGGATGAATCACTTAGAAAGGCATCTTTGAAAATATTCCTGGGTCTTACTCCAAGTCTATCAAAGAAGAAGAACACCGGAGCTTAGCTGTGCTTATTAACAAATTCCCTAAATGATCCCAAGCTAGCTAGAGTTTGAAACAATCAACTTGTATCACCAATTCAAAAAGATTACAAATTCCTTTAATTGTCAATTCTGGCACATAATTAAACTTTTCCAAAGTCCATACTAATTACCCGTCCAAAGAGTTCCAATCTGTGAATGGGACTGGATAAACAATAATGTTCTCAATTTTCCTAGACTTAAATACAATTTACACATCTTCAAGTAAAACCTACATCTCAGAAACCTGTCACACACACTATCAGCTCTAATGCATGCAAATGACAGAAGAATTAACAGGTATTTCTTGTTCCCTAGGTAATATGGCCAAATGGAGGCAAAAATTACTTACATAGTTCTTAATTTCCCGTCGAGCATTAGCATCAATAGCAAGCCATCTCTGCTGATATTGTGCCTTGATATCTGGATCCTTAGATGTCAAAGAGTTCTTGATTTGTAAACCAGCTGCAACTCTGGCAACCTGACTGTTTCCTGGATTTGCCAGCACTCTGGACAGTTCCACAAGGAAAGTGGGCTGTTAAGAACAGACATATACACGTGACTTCAAACACTGAAGAATTTCAACAATAAAGGTTAACAACATGACACCAAATTGATGAAAAGCGCCTTTTTTTTAAGAATAAAGCACCAAAAAAAAAAAAAAAGAATAAAGCACCAACGTCTCAGAAAATGACCCCAAAATAGCTACCTATTATAAACTCATCCATTTTCTCAAGAAACTGTAAACACAAGTTGTAACTTTAATATATGTTCTAATAATTCTATCAAACTCCCAGAATTAAAACAAACCTACCTATCTGAACCAATTCATTTTTCCACATATACTACAATGTCCCTACAAAGGTGTCTCGTATTCAATAAACGTTTACTAAGTAAATATGATAGGGTAGAAAGTAAAATGGTTTTTCATGGGTGATTTTCACTCTGCAGGAGAAAAAAAAGGCAGATTGCTCCCATTAAGACATACAGCCTAGGAGAGTCACTGGAGAGGTGCTGAATCAAAACTGACTCCAATGGAGTGGGTTTGATTTCCATTTTGAACATGAATTGTACACTAAACATAAGAGAGTCTTAAAAGGCACATTTAATTTTTTGTAACGCACAGGTCCCAAAAGATATTTTATTTTTAAAAAATTTTAGTATACATTCTCTTTTCTCAAAAAAAGGTTTGATCAAATAGAAAGGTTAACAGAGAAAGAAAAAAAGTACCTTCTTACCACTAACAAATTAATATTACACACCTGAAATACTAATCCCATCCTAAGACAGTTTTAGAAAACTCTTGCTCGTTTTGTACTACTGAACATCTAAATGTAAAAGGGATCGTGCAAATTGGCAGAAACAAAATATTTCAAATGGAATACTATGTTTATATTAAAGAAATAGATTTCTTCGGGAAAGCAAAGTGCCACTAGTGAAAATCAGCACTTAGTATTTCACTGTGGATAACCCAAAAGAACACATCTCCTTAGCTTTGTCTGTATATATCCTTATTACCTTTACAAAATGTCAAGTATCAGCTACTCTTCTCTCTGCTCCTGTCCCCACAACAGGACAAGTGACTGGTACATAAGTTGCAGAAACCAATCCAAATCACATCTTTACGCAACTAATTAGTGCCTATACTTTTTTCTCCTTGTGCTTTTTGTATTTAAAAACATGATGAATGAGAACTCTCCTCTGTGATTTCATAAGGAAATGGGCCCAATCTCAAGAATGAGCGCCAGCCTGTCGTTTGGGTGCAAATTACTAGATTAAGTCTCTGCTAAAGGAGGTGTATGTAAAAAAGAACCCACCACCCCACGGAAACCTAGGAGACGAGTAAGAGGAAGAAACAGCAATGGGAGTAGGTTAAGAGACATTTGGGACCAGTTCAAGCCCTGAGCAGAGACCAAGCGAGGTGGGAAAGCGTAAGCTCAGGGAAGTAGGTGGAGATAACCACAGGGGCCACGAGACACGAAGGAGAAGCCGGCCGAGGTTAGGACACCGCTGGCAGCTGGGCCCCAAGCGTCCACATGGCCCCTAGGCCCGGCTCCCCCACCCCCACCCGTGCTGAACACGCAGCGCCGCGCAACCTAACTTCCCTTTCCTCCCTCCCGCCGCACCGCCGCCCTCAGCCCGCGCGACGATTGGGCCGCAGTCACCCCGGCGAGGCGCGCCATTGGCCAGCCGCCGGTGCCTAGGGCGGGACACACCCACCGGCTTCCCGATGGCGGGGTTAGGTTGGACCGGGTGGGGGGGAGGGGGACGGGATGGGGCGGGGTGGGTTCCCGAGGCCTGGGCCTCTGGGAGGGCGGGAAGGCCCCGGACGCAGGGGATGGGGAAGACGGCCGGATGGGGACAGTGGGGTGGTACGCACCAGGTTCTCTACCGCCGCACGCTCCAGGAACTTCTGCGCTGCTTCTAGTTCAAGCCGATCTAGGGGGGGAAGGAAAGTAGGAAAGGGGACAGGGTCAGAGGGGCCAAGGCCTCCCTTCCCCCCACCCCAAATCACCGCAGTCAGACCCCCTAGCCCCGCGTCTTACCGGGAGACACGGTCTTCTCGAGGATAGTAATCAGCTCCATGGCGGAGGTGATGGTGGTGGCGACTGCTGGTAAAACGACGGTCCGGCTTTTCGGGCGGCAGCTCTAACTGGGGCTGGGGGTTGGGGGGTCGGGTGGGAAGGGAGGGTGGGGTGGGGGGCGGGGGTCACCACAAGCCCATTCACTGGTTCCCTCTGGCTAGTCGCTCTGGTCCTCCTTCCTTCACTTTCTTCCTTGTCAATGTGTTGCTGGGTGCGGCGGCAACTGCTTCTCTAACGGTAGAAGAGGGACCCCGGGGGCAGCTCAGAGCGCGGCTGGTGCTCGGGTGGCGGAGGGAGAAAGAAGGAAGGCAGGCAGTAAGTGAACGGCGGCTCGCAGGGAGGGAGAGAGGGAGGCGGAGGGATATTCGGGCCGGACCTCTCCGCCGCGGCACCGCGCTCCACGTCAATTGGCTGCCGCCGTGTCCACGCGGAAGCCCCAATTGGCCCCGCGGTTCTCGCTGAAGGGCCGCCTTCCACCGATTCGTCTGCTGGTTTCAAGGCCCAGGTTGGCTGGGCGGGCAGTGGAATAGGACGCGCGTATTGGCCTGGGAGGTGGATTGGGTGGGGCAGGTTTAAGCCGGCCATTGATTGGGTTCGCTTGGCAAAGGCTGTGAGTTCAGACTGGCTGAACTTTGGGAGGAGGGTGGGCCAAAGGCAAGGCTTCGAGACTGTGATTGGCTATGATAATAGACGTTGGTAGGCTAAGGCGCTCGGGAGAACTGGGCAGGAGAGTTCGGGGTCGGGTCCACGGAAAGGCGGGAGGCGCTGCACCGTTTCAGGGGCCCGCGCGGGGCAAGATGGGACGCCTCTGGGAAGGGGCGGGGCAGCGTTGAGACCGCGTAGAGCTGCGGTTAGGGAGGCTAACTCCAAGGTCTAGAAGAGTGAAGGCTTGCGTGGCCTGAGCGGGGGAGAGGGGGAACATTAAAAGCCCAGTAGTGTGCCTACAGGAAGTTAGCTGCCTTAGTAGCTAGGACATACTTAGTACCTAAGTCTAGTCTGGCAAGAATCTTGTTCAACTTCCAATATGTAATTGTACAAACTGAGGCCCAGAAAGGGTACGGAACTTGTCCAAGGTCACGCAGCCACTGAGTGATCTGATTGAAACTGCTCTAAGGCTCCTGACTACTCTTGCCCCTGCAGTTATTTCTGCTCTTAGGAGACGAGCTAATGCATGCCCTAGCGCCTATGGAGGCATGAGACCGGAGGAGATGGTCCATCTTTCTGCCGTGCAGCAGCTGGTAGATTCGAACAGCTTGCCTTCAGGTTGGCAGCGCAGTTCCTTATCACTGGTCACAGAGCTTCCTGTGTTGTTAGAACGCCTAATTAAAATCACGTGGACTTTTGGATTCCACTTTGGCCCCCGGTTGTAGCTACCAGGTGCTGAAATAGCAATACATTTCATTTCATCCTCCAAAGATACCTCTATAAAGACACAACCACAAAATGGAATATGTGCACGACCATAGAAGATTGTGATTTTTAGCCTTTTTAATTTACGGACATTGGGGGAAACGAAGGAAAATCTTTCCTTAGCAAAATAGTTAAAATGTGCATTTAGAGGGTTGTGTTTGTTTTTTAATTCCCTGACAATAGTAATGAATCCTAGATTCATAAGTTCCCTGCACATATTGATTATATCGTTTGTTGAGTTTACCAGCTGCTCCCAGAGAGAAAGATGTGACAGTCTACTTCCTTAAAGATTACAGATTAGGAAACTCTCTGGGCCGGTTCAACTCTGTCTGAGTGGACTCAATGACAACTGGTTTTCAGATTATGCTAGCAGTAATTTATAGTTTTGTGTCACTCCAATATTCCTTCAGCCCTCCAGCCTGAGCCACCTTTTCTGCTCGACATCAGGCATAATACCAAAAGCCAAACTAACTGCCTTGTAGACAATTCCAAATCATACCAACGTTATAGAAAATCCCCATAGGATTTTCAGGGCTGTGGATCTTCTTGAGAGTACAGTCCTCCATCTTTCCTTCTTGGATTTGCTGGTGGTTTCTAGCTGCAAACCTTTTGGTTAACAGACCAGTGCTCAATCCACTGTACCACCAGGACTCCTGTAATAATACTGGAAAGGGCAAAATGATTTTTAATGTTGTTAGTTGCCACTGACTTGGTGCCAGGTCATGATGACCCTAGGTACTTAGTTTCTCTGAAAACAAAAAAAATGCCTTCAAGGACTGCAGAGATTAAGGCTATATACAATAAGGAGTTGACCAGATATTGTAATTAATTGGATTCATCAGTTGAGTTAATATTATAAAATGTATATGAATGGAAGCCCAACATGATTTATGAACTGTCACACAAATACATTAAAAGAAAGTAAAAGTAACACAACTTGAAAAACTCAAGCATAAAGTAGAGGAAGAGGTGTCCTAGGAAGGAGCTATCACAGAGGGCTTCTAGAAAGACGGTATCCCCTCCTTTCCTTGAAATAAGGGTTCTATTTTGATTAGATGAAGGGCTTTATTTTATTATAGCAATAGTTAAGATGTTAGGTGATAAAGGACTGAACTAGAGTCAGAAGGCACAATTAGAGGAAAGGAGAATCAATAAAATTGATGAGTAAACTCCATCAGTGATTGATTAAAGGAAAGGAAATGATCAGAGATGAATCCCAGATGTCTCCAGCTTGAATATTTGATAGACTGGGTAATTATAAAAACAAAGTCAAGTCTTGCAAGTGGTTTGGTGAAGGAAGTTGGAGAAGAGGTGAAACCCAGTTTTATAATGCTTTTGTTTTGTTTTGTTTTTATAGTCAATGATACATAAACCATTGTATCTAAATTCTTTCCCCCCCTTTTTTAATTTATTATTAATTTCAATGAAAATTTACAGAGACTTTGGATTTCCATTCATTCATTGTTACACTTTCCTCCCTTCCCAACCCTCGCCCCTAGTACACTACCCTCATGGAAAAGTAAAAGAAAAATTCTTTCATTGTTTTACAATCCTTCCCCTTATATACTGGTTCACTCTACTATACAGCCTTTGCTCTGGACTTCTGTTATGACAAAAATACCTAATCACATATCCCTCTTAAAGAGTTTTCTCCCTCATCTGTTTCAATGCATTGGACCCAATTATTGAACCCATCTTTCTCAGTCTCCCCCTGAGTCTCCCTTTTTCTCAGTCCTGTTTTACAACAGTGGCACAATACAGTAGTTGTCCTTTTGTGGCTGAGATACTTCACTCAGCATAATTTCCTCCAAGGTCACTCATTTTGAATAATACTGCATGAGTTCCTTGTTTTTTAATGCAGCATAGTATTATATTGTGTGAATATACCACAGCTTCTCTATCCATTCGTTTGTTGATGGGCGCTTAGGTTGTTTCCAACTCCTTGCTATTGTAAACAAAGCCGCGATAAACATGGGTGTGCATATATCTGCTTGGATATCAGTTATGGTCTCTTTGGGGTATATTCCCAGTAGTGGAATTGCTGGTCAAATGGTATTTCTGTTTGCAACTTTTTGAGGAGGCTTTTTTTTTTATCTTCCATCTTTATAGCTATACTGAGAGAAAAGCTGATGCTTAGAGGAAAAAAAATTAGAAGCCAGTAATTGAGACTGTAACATATAAAGAGAGAGAAAAGCAGAAGATTAGGAAGTGGAAATAGAGTTCCCAAATAGAAGGTACAGCAGATGATTTGAACCCCTACTTTTGTGTTGGCAGTACAATTCCTGAGTGCTAAGCCACTAGAGCTCTCTTAAGAGAAGGAACAAGAAAAGGTAGAAAGAATACAGAAGCATGGATTGTTTTTAGTTAGGCTAGCCTGGATCTCAATATGACCGGAATCCATCAGTCAATATTCATTTATGGTGATCCTATAGATCTCATATATAAGTCTTGTGTTCCTGTGCATTTCAGTGACCAATTTTGAGAAGTAAATTGCCAGACATTGCTTCCAAGGCATCTTTAGATATACTCAACTCTTGGGCTCAGCTGTTTATACTACCCAAAGATGCCCAAGCCCTAATCTCCAGAACCTGTGAATATGGAGTAGGCTAATTACACGGCAAAAGGAACTTAGCAGATGTGATTGAAGGATTTTGGGTTGGGAGATCATCTTGGTGAGCCCAGTGTCCTTGTATGGAAGAGGAAGGTCCAAGTCGGAGAAGATCCTGTGATGGCTGAAGTTAGAGTGAGGAATGACCAAGGACTACGTGGGTAGCCTCTAAAGTTGGAATGGCAAGGAAGGGATTGTCCTGAAAAGCTGCCAGAAGGAACTCATCTCAGCCTATTTTAGACTTAAAACCTCTGGAAATTCAAGAATAAATTGGTGTTGCTTCAAGTCAGTGAGGCTGTGGTAAATATTTACAAGTCACTCAGTCATTGCTTTGGAGTTGGAACTGACTCATAGCTGATCCTCCAGTGGGGGTTTGGAGACTAATTGCACTGATGGATTCAAATCACTGGAGAGGCACCACCTTTGGGTCAGTAATATGACTCCCTGAGGGCTAGGTTGCCAGAGCTCCCTAAATAGTTACTACAGAAATAGGAAAAAGAAATCTTCTCCCATGTGATGTACAGTCCCTGAAAACCTGCTGGAGGGTCAACTATGAGTTGGTTCTGATTTGGTGGTACGTAACAATGACAATATATTTATATCTATAAATTTTTACCATTATACAAAGTTCTTTCACATATATCTAATTCTATCTTCAATAGTTAAAAATATTAAGTTGTTATTGGGTTCTGTGGAGTTGGACTAACCCATTGCCGACCCTCCAGCAGGTTTTTAAAAGCTATAAACTGCATGGAGGGAGATTATCCATCCTTCTCCATTAGAGCAGCTGGTGGATTTAAACTGATTACAATGCAATCTCTTACCCACTGAGAGACCCAAGGAAACTAATTCAGTAGTTGACAATTAGATTCTTTCTCCCTTTTCATAGCTGACCCTCCATTGGGTTTTCAGAGACTGTAAATTGAATGGTAAGAGATTGCCCATATTTTTCCCACACTGGTTTTCCCAAAACCGGTGGATTT